TGTCTTTTATATGTATGAAATATAGAGTTATAGAAGTTTTTGTTAAATGATTTTGATAACAATTCATTAATATATTGATAAACATAGTTCCAAAGATATTGTGTGTTAAGAAAGTAGAGCGTCCGTGGCTCAGGGGTTAAGTATTTGACGTGTAATCTGCAGGTCCTCAGTTCGATTCACCATGTACAAATGTAGTTTTTTCGATGTTCGATTTACATGTGTACATTTATCCGACGATCTTACAGTGAAGGATAATATCGTGATGTAACCTGTACATATCTGTAAAGTCAACCAGCACTGGGCCTACGTGGTTGATTATGGCGTAGTCACTGACTTAGGGTAGGCTTCGAGTCCCTCTATGGGGATGTAAAGTGAGGTGATGGTGAAGAACGTAGAATGGTGATTATTTATTACATAAATCAAGATGCAAACATTTTATTCTGTAGTTATATTAATATTGTTTGCTATAGAGTTATTGCGGTACATTAATTTCATCGAATGTATTTTAAATTAATATCGCGCCGCGAACTCTTATTTGAGCTTAATTAATATTATGTTTTCATTTAGTGATTTTAATATTGTTGATACTGAGATAGAAATATGGTTCAGTGGACCTTTTTTTTATCGTGGGGAAATGCCTTTCGCATACCATCCTTGCGGGGACAAAGGTGGTTATGTCGGGCTTGCACCGACTACAACCCCACGGTGGTCGCCACCGGCGCTAACAAGGGGGGAGGCGGGATCTCCGTACGGAACACAATCGCCACCCTCCAATGCCTAGCTAGATCTTTTGGGTCCAGCTCCATCGTACTCTCAGGTTCAGTTGACTTAGCATGAATATTTGCGACAATCGTTTTTGTATCGTCATCGTAATTTATGTCAAAAATTATAATAGTATGAGATATTTGGTGTTCTTTACATCCGATAGAGGGCGCTGCACAATTTTTAATAGAAATTTTGACCACGATGATACGATGGCGATGGTCACAAATATTCATGCTAGGCCCACTGTTCGTTTTATTGTGTTTTATGTGAATGTTCGAGCCCCTACACACTAGACTTAATCGCCGGATATGAGCACGTACGGAGGCCTAATTTAGTCCTCTTTCCCTTCTTACCCTTTTCCTTATAAGGAGAGGATGGGAAGTGAAAGTGGATTTTCCGGATGAGAGGATGCATGGAAATGTTTTCTTTCTCTGCATCCTCTCCTCCGTCGATTAAAGGTAGGCAACGCATATGCAATTGCGTATGTCTATGGGCAACGGTCACTTCGCTATTTCTGCGATTTCAGGTGGCCGCTCGCTCGTTTGCCACATTATTATATAAAAAAACGTATGTATGTGCGCAAATTACATCGATTACATGCTTATACTGATTAAGAGCACAATCAAACTGCCGGCCGACTAACTCTCGTGTGCGGGGGCTTATACGAATCTAATGAAAACTACCTCGTCAAAATCTGTCCAGGTATTTAATGTCTAGGCCATCACAAAGGAATTTACATACATATAAAAACTTACATACGCTCGAAAACGCTGTTAGCAATCGAATAACCATGTTTTTATGCATATATTTCGGCAAAGAAAACTCAGTTACTTATAAAAAAGAAAATTTAAAAAGGATAGCAATGACAATTCTTTCCTAAAACCGGTGAATATTTGGTTGCATTACGTCACCATAGATTAGCTATCATGTAACACTGCAGCGCGTGCCTTATCACAGATAAACTGCAAAAAAGTCAGAGATATCATAATGATGTCAAGGTTCTGTATGACTTATTTTGAATCACAGATGAAATCATATTTCTTAAGAAATAAGGAAAATATACATATTTAAGTTGTAATTGCGCAATGATGGCTATAAAAGTAATTTGTAGAGAATAAATGTCTTTAGTAATCTATATCAGTTGCCAACGATTTTCTCGTGGACTAAAAAACTAGTAATAAATATAGCTTATGTCACCCAGGGGTAGTGTAGCTTCCCAATAGTGTAAGAATTTTGCAAATCGGTTCAGTAATTTCGCAGCATTTTCAATACAAACAAACTTATTTTCTTTTTATAATATTAATATAGCTATTAGTATTTTTTACAGTATTTAAAAGTCATGTTCATAAAAAAATCATTTGTATAATTATATAAACTCTTGTGTTTCCATCAAAAGTTTTAGAATTTTTATTAAAAGTAAAAAAAAAACTTCAAAATTGAAAACTGACTATTCACTACACACCTCTGTTCATTTGCAGTCCTCTTATGAATTAATCTGGTGACTAAGTAACCACGTGGTGACAACTAAATAAGACAGACAGGCTTGCTTACGTACCGTGCCCTCGCCCTTTGGTTAAGGGTCGTGCTCTACTGGTGTAGGGTGGCCATAATTTTTCGCCGAATAAGTAAACAACAACTAGCTAACTGATTATCTTTTGTAGAGGAGTTGCAATGGTAAAATTTTTGGCGTAAAAATTGTGTACGATAAAAATTTGCGAAGCTAATAACGAAAAACCATTTTTTAAAGTTTTCGTCTGGGTGACAGCAAAGCTGTGTTTGTTCCAGGTAATCTTCAGAACGGCTGGTCCGATTTTGACGGGACTTTGACGGGAAAATTGCTGATAGACGCGGGCATATCTTAGGCTAGGTTACTTTAATTTTGCGCTGACGTAATTGATAGTAAGTAAGTAACAATTGAAATTTAGGACAATGGAATATCCTGCAATACTTTATAGTCATGGCTACATGGTAAAGCCTTATAGGGTAGTTAGCTGTAACACTATGCGTCACATCTACCCTTATTGCGGTCGGTAGAGTTTGTAGGGGATTTTAATTCACCAACTTTGATCATTTACTGTAGTTTTGTGACCGATACTCAGATTTACGACCTGTTTTTATTACTTCAATGTAGAGTTTAAGTGTTACCACAACTAAAATTATTTTTACTCTGTAAAGTTAAAGTAATAATAATACCAAGATCGACTACTATTATGCCGATAGTCGTATTGCTGAATAGACCGATAGCGAAGAGCTTCGATCAACATCTCAAGAAGCTCTACAGTTGGATTAAGGGTCCGATACAAAAGGCAGTTATCCTAGACATAATATCATAACCAACGTTGATATAGAGCCGATGTCTCTCTTTTTTTTTACTCTTCTTTATCTTAATAAATTAAACAACCAATATTTTATAGTCGCAAAAATTCCGAGCGAAGCGTTTCAATTAAAAAAAAAATCTTTCATAAATCCGAAACAAAAGTCCCTCCCGCCGAAAACTGACAGCTGTCAATAGCCGAGCCGTTTTTAATCTGTCGCACAAAAGTATCGATTTTGATTAAAAATAATGAAACATCACGTCTAGACGTCGCGTTACCTAACAATTTGCGTGATATTTATGCCTTGCTCTTTATGTAGATTGTTGTAATTATTAAAACGAACACTTTTTTGTCCTTCATAAATGGCAATTTCACTTCAACTAAATGTACAAAAATATATTTATTATATAATATAGAGCGTCGGTGGGTCAGTGGTTAAAGCACTTGACTTGTAATCTGCAGGTCCTGGGTTCGAATCCCGTCATGTACCATGATTTACACATGTTCATTTATCCGACGTTCTTAAGGTGAAGGAAAACATCGTGATGCAACCTGCACATATCTGCGAATAAATTCAAAGATATCTGTGAAGTCAACCCGCACTGAGCCAGCATGGTTGACTGTGGCCTAATCACCAATAAATTAGGGTAGGATCCGAGCCCCTCGGTGGGGACGTATAGTGAGCTGATGATAATGAAATGTATGAAATAACAAAAAAAAATACTCCATGTTTTTAGTTTATCTAGTAATTTACGTTTCGTTCACATCTATTATATGTTTGGCAGATTATTGCAAGAAATCATAATCATCAGCTCACTATACGTCCTTACTGAGGGGCTCGGAGCTTACCCTAAGTCATAGTCAACCACACTGGTCCAGTGCGGATTGACTTCACACATCTTTGAATTTCTTCACAGGTACGTAAGGGTCATGCATTTACGGTGTTTTCCTTCATCGTAAGAATGTCGGATAAATGTACATATGTAAATCATGGTACATGGCGGGATTCGAACCCTAGGAGCTGCAGATTACAAGTCAAGTGCTTAACCCCTAAGGCACTGGACACTCTTTAATCATAACAAATTATACATGTTTTGTATACAGTTAATTTTGTCTTGACTATCGTAACTTAAATTGAAGCGAAAAATAATACAACGGTAAAAAATATAAGCAGCGCCAGACTGCGGTTGGTTCGCTTGGCCGGAACGGACTTCGCGGAATGCAAAATTCGCGCGGCCATTAGCGCCGCTGATGGATTTTTGCAATGTTTCGCGTTTCGTCGTGTTTCAACTTTAATCAATAGTGCCCAGTCCTGAGGGCTCGATCCTACTTTGTTTCTTGGATTATAATTTAAAAAATTCTTTGACTACAATGATCTTGTATTGACAAAAATGTATTATTTATAATTGTGTAGGGAATATTAATCTGAATTATAGCTTATGATATGTTTCTATTTTAATGTTGTCCTATCTGTTTGTTATGTCTTAATCTCGGTCGTTTCATCATATTGTTTAGAGTGTGGACTGTGACCGTCGTCGGTGGTATTATTTTGGTGTGCAGGTGACGGCGACTGACCGTCGGCGTCAGGATCAGTATTGATCGCCGGCCACCAGCTGAGCGGAGCACGAGGCGAGGCGAGGCGAGTCGGCCAGCCGGGTTGTTTAGACGCAATGCAGATCACGTGTGCGCCGCGCGCCCGACATTCGTCGCCGTATACGCCCCGACTACCTTCCGTCACTGTTCCGCAAATAGGGGAGTCTTCGGGGCTGAAAAGCAGGGAGGCTCGGACCGGGCTAGGGGCTCGGGCGGGGGCGGCGGGCGACGCCTGCGCGTCTGCGTGCCGCGCAGCGCGGCCGGTCGATGCGGCGCGGCGCGCGCACCCGCCGGCCCCGTCGTCTCTGAAACCATTCCGAGCGGAGTGTTCGTCCGGAGCGGTCGTGTGAGCGCTACCCCTGGGCGAAACGTCGGCAGTCGCGCCGGCGCCGTGCTCGGCGATGGACCACGACGAGGACCGGTCCTTGTCCCTCGGGACTGAGGTGTCGGCCTCCGCGCCCCCGCCGAGTCCTCTTACGGGATGCTACCTGCTGGCCGTCATCGGCGAGCCGCACACGCATGAGCACAAGGAGATTATTCTGCAGCGCCTCGTCAAAGGTAAGGCGCCGGCCGCTGCACGCCGGCTGACACCTGTCAGATGGGCACACTCCGTCGCCGGCGCGCCGCACTGCTCCCGAGCTCGCCGTCACAACACACTTTCTCCGCGGTGATTGTGATTCTAACGTGGGAAAGTTTGTTGCGATTGTTGTTTTAATCTTCCTACAAAATAGTTATTATCTCGATCGTTTACTTGTCAATTTGTTTGTGTCGTAGTGTAGTTTAGAGCTCGGTGAAATGATCACAACATTAAATATCAAAGTGCCTTCTGTACTGATCGCCGGCGGCGTGGTGTGTTTCTCGTTACGTCATCCGTGACGTGGTGCTCAGTTTTTTTCTGAGGCCGACCGGCATGTTGAATTGATTGAATAATTGTATGAACCTTTTTTATTACTCCGCGCACGAGCGAGCCCCTGAAATGGAAATACTATTGCCAAAATTATCGAATTGGAACAATGACATGCAAAAAGACACTATATTTAATTGTTTTTCTAATTTTTCCAATCAATATATTTGTGTTCGCACAATTATTTTGATGACGAGCAAAGAAGGGTGTGTTGTCAAATGTGAGCATCGATCATAATGCGTCAGATGACGTCACACTCCCCGGTCGTGCCATCTCCTATCAGGCAGTGCAATCAGAACGCTGCCCGTGCCGCCGGAGCCGTCGGCAATGCGACAAATAAAACTCCACCGTACGCCGTCGCATTGCCCCTCAGGTCGATGTCACGTATCCCAACTACAAATATGTCTCTAGTCGAACGGTAATATACTTGATTTGAATAAAGAATAACCTCCTAATAAGTGGACAGTTTAAAAAACGAAAGTATTCGATAATATATTAATCAAAATAAACAAATATTTTTTGCAAAGTTGAGGTCAAGGCTGCGAGATGATACACAACGCATCACAACTGTTTAATGTGTGTAATGAATCAACACATAAAAATGCCGGCTCGTTTTTTACAACGCTAGTTGTTTGGTTATGCAAGATAAAAATACATATTTGCTCACACGTAATGCATAAAACTGATGGCAAAGGATATTTAAGGAAAGCAAACTTTAGAGGACAACACAATGTCAAAGGATTTTCGACTTACACTTTTCAAACTTTTAATGAAACAGAGTAATATTTAAAAAAAATACATCAAACAAAGTAGTAATTTAGTAATATGAATAATTTAATTCCTTTTTTAGTGATAAAATCAATTTTATTATTTTGACTGTAAATTACTATAAGTAAAAGAAATATTTAAAAATTCCTTAATATTTTAAGGATTGTTTCCGATATACAAACCTTTTTTGTTTTACTCACCTTAATAAAAGAATAAAAAATAAAATAATACACTATTTACTCTATTGTTATTAAAATTAAAAACAAAGTTGACCTAGAAACATTAAATACAATACTCTTTGCAATTATTTGAAATGGCAACACCCAGTCTACCATATAACCTATTTACCTATATTATTATTATAAAAATCTCCTATAGAACTGTGAGACATTAAAAATGTTAATTAACTAAATAAAATCGTAAACATTGCAAAAACTTTCGTCAGTTTATTCGGGGATCAATAAAATAACAGTAAACATTCGCAGTGAAGCAACCGTTTTTCGTATTCAAGGACGCCATCTTGTTTTTAGTGTCAAAACAGGACGCGCTAGCGCATGTCTCGGTTTTAACTGCAGTTAAAAATATCTCGATGCGTTGCAAAGAACTTAAAAATCAAACAGAATAATACAAAGATGAATGCATTATGCAAAAATGTAATAGATTTTACTAAAATTATTTAAAACGACTGCGGATAATTTTTTTTTAGTTCGTGGGACATTTTTTTTCGAAGATTTACGTATGAACTGCATTCATTACAATAGCGATTTTAAACATACTTCTATTTTATAAAAGGTCATTCGAATATTAAAATTTAAAACGGAAATTGGCTTTGTGACAATTTTAAATTAATTGACACTAAAATATTTCGGTTATACAGTAATTTAGTAAAAAATATTGAACTAAGTATAATTCCCGGTTCAATTAATTGCAGGGCTAAGACTAGCAAAATTAACTTACATTATTACAAAATACCTTTATCAACGTAACGATTGGGACTCTTACACTTAACCAAATAAAAGTCAGACATTTCTGAAATTCATCTAAACCACATTGGAAGAGAAAACAAAGGAAGACAAAGAACATAAGTAAATGGAACAGAACAAAAGATGGTCGTTGTGTAGTATCAAGAAGTAAAGAGGATGGCACAAGAGAAGGAAATACTGGAAATTGCTCCATCGATAATGACAACATAGTAATTTCCAATAACACAGAATTTAAGTTAATACATAAAAAATGCTACCGAAAACATGTCAGAAAAAAATTATCATCGATAAATCGAACGATCGCTTGATTATCTATCACGTACTAGTTTCAATGATTCACGATGTTGTTAATTCTGATTACGTAATAGAGACGAAGGAATCGCATATAATAGGTGTGAATTTGCACACAACAGCACACGATGTTTTCTAACTAATTATAAAGGTGACAAAGCAACTAGAGCTATGTTGCTTAAGAGATGAGATAATTCGCAATGAGAATATAGAAAAGAGAACTAAAAATAAAAACTTAGTATGGATTTCTTTGTAGATAGATTTGAGTACATCACCATGCTCTTTAGAAGCGTTAGATCATTTTTACCTTCATTTGAATCTTCGTAGAAAAGTAATTTATATTTCTGAATAAACAATCCATTTCTGAAACATTTCTCGGAACATTGGAATTACAAATTACTTCAGATTCTGTTTGGAAATGAGATTGAAATATTAGCATTTTCTGAGAAAACTTATAGCTATATTATTTTTCTGAAAGTATACAGATTTAGTAAAAAGAAGAAGTACCTAAATGATACGAAAGTGAATTCAGAAGGATCGCTAATAGAGAAATATTCAAGAGAACATACTAAGCCGACACTACAAAGAGACAAAAGCATTGAGATGCTTGGCCAACTTACTAAACGAAGCCTGGCTGGATAACTAGTCTTATGAAGAATAAATAGGAAAGTTTGGAAGGGTATATGGTTAGTTACCATTTACAACTGCTGAAAGAAATATTTAAACCTAGAATAAGTATTAAGACGAAGATGCTTCTTATTTTTTTTATTCCAAGCGAAATCTAGAGTTATAGATTTTAGGAATTATCAACATTTTCTTATATTGTTACGGTATTCGGTCAGAATGAATCTATTAACACGAGAGGAAGGCGAAAGCGCATACCTCATCGATGGATGTTGGATCTTAAACATGATTGCATTTGTTATCTTCAGATCGTCAGTTATTTTTATAATTATACTAGCTGTCACCAGCGACTTCGTCTGCACGGTAATATAAAAAACTTAATAAATGGCCTAAGTGTTCTTCTTGGCTATGTTTTACATTTATAGCAAATTTCAACAAGATCCAGGCAGCTGTTCTGGAGATACATTCAAACAAACATTCATCCATCTAAACATTCGTATTTGTATATTCTTACTGATATTATAAATGCGAATGTTTGGATGGTTGGATGGATAGATGAGATCTTTGAAGGTATCTCCAGAACGGCTGAACGGATAGCGATGATATTTGGCATAGATATAGAACATAGCCTGGGAAAACACATAGGCTAATATAACAGTTTTTTTTTTCATTCCGCGCGAACGGAGTCGCGTTCGACAGCTAGTTAATAATGAACATGAAACAAAACAATTGTCAACTGAAGCTAATAGTAGTCGTACTGAAAAAAAATGGATTTGTTCTAACATTCCTTATTTAAAAGGGCAATCAAATTATTAATTTTAAACAATTGAATAACGCTTCGACTAATCATGCATTGACAGTTTCGACATATTACACGGTTTAGATGGAATACATATAATCAACCACCCGTGGTACATCGTTTATGTTTAGTTTTTGGCTACTGATGAAGTGTCATTTGAGCCAATAAAAAACTTCAACGTTTTTACGTAAAATTAACCACGAATAATTGCTTACTTAATATTTGAAGGCCAAGTAATCCTGACAAATTAATTTAACAACTTATTTTTTTTTATTTATCGCTTTTAAAACTGTTTGTGATACCATTGTGTGATTTGATTGTGTACTATGGTAAATAATTTCTTTATTTACGAGATAAGATCTACGGAAAACGAATAGTAAAGAGATGCCGAGTCATGTTTAATCTTAATTAAGACTTATTATATATCTTCGAGTCACATGTCTAGGACTTGGTTGCAACGGCGAGGGATCGGAAAAAGTGGAGACTTGTTGTCGGAGGACAAGGCTCACTTCGGGTCTCTGCGTCACGTTAGTTAGCAAGTTTTAAATGTTGGGATATCGCAAGGATGTCTCCTTGGGCCCACAGCAATGCATTTTTATTAAGTGCTTATCATACATTGTAATATTAAAAACAGTACAGAACATATAAATTGGATTGTTCTTGTAATCTATTTACGCGACTATAGATCGCAAATATCCGGTCAAGTGTACCTTACTGAGCCAGCAGGTTTTCTAGGAATTTTTATAAAGTATAATACTTCGATATAAATAGCCAGTATATTAGAAAACATAACAATCTAGATATGTTTTATGAAAGAGGTTTTATTTGTTATCTTTTCAAATAAAGGACACTCTGGCTGGTACAAATGGTAACATCTTTATTGAAGACTAACTGTCCCACGACATTGTTCGTGCGGAATTAAAAAAAAATTGTAGCGTATGTGCTCTTCCAGATTATGTTCTACATCTATGACAAATTTCAGCGAGATCCATGCCGCTGTTCTGGAGATACTTTCAAACGAACATCCTTCCAATTTAACAGTCGCGTTGATAATATTAGTAAGATGGAAGATTAACTTTTAATGCAACAACTACAAATCTTTGTCACTGAATTTAGCTACTGAAACACAAAGCGAAAGAGATGAAAATACAAAACGTAACGAGAAAGGCAGAGACGAATATATCTGCGT